GTTAGTGTTATGTATATGGTTTTGTGTATCTTAAATTACTTGTTTAACCTGTTTGTACTTCCTGGTGTACAGGACGGTCTTTTTCACAGACGTTAACTAATATTTTGGATGAGTCATCTTGATGTCTTTTGCAAATCTCAAAATCATATCTTTTATTTAACTTTTCTATTTCACCCTTTACAAGATACATTAGATTTGAAATCAGTATTAGAAAGGAAATAATATTTATGTTGTTGTTTTGTTTGTAACACTTTTCTTGACCATTGGATCAAAATGTGCATTAAACAATAAAATATATACATTTTAATTTTTCACTATCTTCAAAGCAATATTGTCTGATCAGGTTTTATATCTTAGAAAATTGCAAATCCATTTCAAAAAATCATTAGACCCATAGGAAGTCTGATACCAAATATGGTGAAAATGCCAAAATTTGCTGCTTTGCCAACTGTTTAATGGGCTCTCATTTATGAGAACAAGCCTTAGACATAGGTGGTTGTGGAAGTGCATGGATCCTGGGTCCTTGCTTTCTTAGAGAATGTACAGTACTTTTACAGTAGTGTGGTTATTGAATGTGTAGCGGGCTTTCCTCGGGAGGACAGCATGGTCCTGTAAAATGGCCTCCTGGAGGCAGAGGGGCTCCATGTGAGCTTGGCCGAGACTTAAGGTCGATTGTGTGGAGATGTTAGGAGCCTGGTCAGAGGTCACGGGTGAGAGGTCGTGCCTCTTGCTTGGCAGGTGAAATGGTTGACCTTCAAGGGGTCTTGGGTGTAGAGTGCGCAAATGTTACTATGTGAGAGACCTATAGTTTGATTTCTAGAAGAGGACAGTTTTTGAACTGGCTCTTCATGGTCTTTATAACAATATGGTACTACAAGTCTCTAAATAACACATTGAATACTATTGATATTTAAACTTCATCGCAGCATTGGCAGCTGTGTGGTTTAGGGGGTGGCGGCTGAAAGGAAAGAAACCTGGGTCCAGGACAATGCTAAAATTTAGCTCGTGCACCTAGGGACACCATGGCACAATTCCCTTCTGTTTGGAAACAGATTGTAATCAGGTACCTAACTGAAAAATAAAGGGATTTTTTCTACTTTTGATATTGGTTCCTAGGGCATTAAGATGCAGAGTCGAAATTCACTTGAGGCATATTCATTTTCTTGTTTCAGATGTCAGGAAAAAGTCATTTTAGTCTCTGACTTCCCCCACCACTTCCCATGATTCTTTTGGATACATTAAAGGATACATTCATGTAACAAGCTATATGAGCTTTTTGATGTATAAATTCATGTAACGAGCTATATGAGCTTTTTAATGTATAAATTCATGTAACGAGCTATATAAGAGCTTTTTGATGTATAAATTCATGTAACAAGCTATATAAGAGCTTTTTGATGTATAAATTCATGTAACGGGCTATATAAGAGCTTTCTGATGATGTATCCCACCAAAGGCAGGAAGTATTTTGTCATAACCATCATTTTTTCATATTTAATTTCCTTGTTTTCGACTAGTGATCAGGATTACGCCAAAGAATTTAAAGGCCAAGATGAAACTTAAAAGGTGGAGGGCCTTGTGCCCAAGAAGGGTCTGGTAAATTCTTGTGGAGATCTTGCTGTGCATTTCAAATAAAACTGATAGTGTCAGTTGCAATTTTTCAGCAGGTCTGATAAATAATTTCCTTATTCACACAGCTTTTTCGGCTGATGGACCAGGACGGTAATGGTTTTATTACGCTTAAGGAATTTTGGGACGTGATGGTTGTGTTCGCTCGCGGGAAGCCAGAGGAGAAAGCTAAACTCATCTTCAACATCTACGACCTTTCCCGCACAGGCCAGTTGTCTGCGCCCGACTTGGTAGGCATGGTCAGGTGAGTGCAGCCAGACACTACAGTTCTTACAGAGAACTTCCAAAGTGACATCGTTCATATTCACACACATGAAGACATGTGTGTGTGCGTGTGTGTGTGTGTGCGTATTTATATTTCACATATCCACCCTACTTTACTAGAGCAATTAATCTTTAACATGCAGCTGCTGTACATCATGTACAGTACTGTCCTTCCTTGCCTGTTAAATGATGTGCAGCCCCATATGCACAGTCAATCCCTTGCCTAAATAGCAAGGGGGAGAATTGAAAAAGAGGGAAGGAGGTAGACAAAGGCAATGGAAAAGTTTTAGATATCAACTTTGAGCGAAATAAGCTTTAAAACAGCTTAAAGATAACGGCGATAAATATATAAATCAATCACTGATACTAAGATTAAATATGCCATATATTCATAAATGAGAGACTTTAAATGTTTTCGTGTATAAGGTTTACTGATATTCGTCTATTGTATGATGCTTTAAATTTAATTGTCCATCTTTCCCCCTGAAGGTCTACCCTGGGAAGCGAAAGCAAGAACCAAGACCTCAATAACATTGTGCAGACAATGTTGCAGTCAGTTGGCGTCAGTGTTGACCAGCCCATCAACTTTGAACAGTTCCAAAAGATATTCAATACGAGGAGTGACGTCTTTAACCATGTACAGATTAATGTGGGGGAGATGTCGCGTAAAAGCAATTCTCGCTTCAGCTTGTATGGTGAGATCCCCACTGGAGGTTTCGCTGCCGAGGCGGCCCGGAAGGAGTATGACGAAGCCCGACAGGAAGTGCTGACCCAGGAGGAAAATGATGACGTTCCAAAGGGCAAATTCTGGTTGGGTGTTGAACTGTCCGAGAGCCTTCGGTCCATCGTGAACAATATCAAGAACAAGCAACAGACCTTTTTCTGGGGAACATTGTATACTATCGTAATGTTGCTCATATTTGCCGAGAGGGCATATTATTACACGTAAGTTATTAATTTTTATTTCATAGATGTATGATTTTGAGAAATAATACTCTCCCTATTTCTTTCTTTCTCTCTCTATCTCTCTCTCGCTCTCTCTCTCACACACGCACACACACACACACACACACACACACACACACACACACACACACACACACACACACACACACACACACACACACACACACACTCACTCACTCTTACTTCCCGCTTGAGGCAGAAAACCCTCCCAATACCACGCCGTTGGCATCCAAGGTTGAACTGTAAGCATATCAACTCATCCACCTATAAGAATGAACTGAGAGATGATCAACATCAATGTCTGAATGTCAAATACCCTTGGTAATATTGAGCCTGAATGAAAGAACCTATTATTGACTGCAACGTTCCCTTAGTGCCAGATGCAAGGAAAGGGAAGAATCTCCAGTAGATAAGAATGTGCTAATAGGAGGCCGTGCTGTTGGCACAAGCCAACACCCACAGCACAGAGCTAGACACTCATGAGTCACCACCAAGAACCGCTTCAAGTATATCTTGCCAGCCATTAGATTGACCATATCCCATTACAGGAGCTCATCAATATGGTTAAGGATAAACCCTGGGTTTGATCTGCCCAACTTTGATCACTAGAAGAGGGGCCTCACCCACCTAAGGTCACTGGAGATCCGACGTAATTTCCCAGTCCTGCATCCACATCACACCAACCCCAGAGAAGTGGATGGGAGCCTGGGTGTAGAGGAGGCAGTCAGATATATGCAAGATTTCCTCACCCAGGAAGGACGTTACATACAACACTAGGAGTTCAGGTTCACAAGGGCCTGAACCTGAAATGCCTGCCGTGCCAGTGTCCAGGCTTGGTAATCCTCTGCCAGGAGGTCCAAGGGCCCTACTGAAGAACGAGGAAACGAAATGAATGTTACCAGTCACCCTAGGGGAAAGAGCAGACAACAGATAGGAACTGTCTAATGGAGGAGCCCATTCCACCCCTCTCACCTGTGACCTTTGGACCCAGGCATTGCAGCCTCCCACTGAGTACCCAGTTAAACTTCCCATCCTCATGCATCCCCTCGACCCTCCAGTCGGCAGGGGAGAGGGGAGGGTGAGGAGTAGGATTTGTCGCAAGATTTCAAATAAGGAGAGGGAGGTCCATTCTTCCAGGCCCGAGAGACGGTTCCCGAAGATGCAGAACCCAGAGCAAGAATCCAGCCTTTGTTTTTCCCGAGATGTGCTTTACCTGAGACTATCAACTGACATAGAAACCCTCCAGCATCGCAGAGGCCTTTTAGGGAGCTGTGGAGTGGGCAGTAACCGAGAAATAAGAAAGAAATGAATCCTAGAGTAGGAACAGGGTCCTAAGTACGCCGATGAATTAGTATTGGGCATAGTGGATATTATCAAGATAAATCACGAAAAATAAATCATAAGAACCACCTGTCACTGGATACATTTCCTGGCTACTGTACTTATGTTTTGTGAATTTTGCTTACACATAGACGAGTCTACAAGGGCTTAGTCACCAAAGATCAATAAGTATCTTTCATGGAAAAGTGTTTGAAAAGATTATTATTATTATTGATATCATTTTTGTTATCATTATTTGAGACACTATGACTAATTTAATGTTATTAATACTGATAGCAATAAAGATAAAATAAGCTTTCCGAAAATCAAGGAAAAGGGTAAGCAGGTGAGATCAGAGAAGACTAGTTATTGAGTCCTAATAATATATTAAAATCTCACTGGACATTGCATGTATATACAAGATATCCCTGCCGCATTGTTTGCAAGTAATAATTCCTGCCGGGAAGCATCAAGCTTGCCAGTGTGCGATGGTACGAATTCAAAGCCTGTAGAAAACCGCATAAGGGTCGAAGTAAGGATACAAGCATTAACAGCAGGCACTCGTAACTACAGAAACATGAAGGCAGTCCTCTGTTTTTAGGAAAATCTCGGAGCTAGCTCTGACGGAAAGCAGCTGGTTTAGGTTAAAACCATAGGGTAAGCACGCTGAGAGGAACCCTTCCTTGCAAATAGTAATTGGGAAAACTTACAATATATCATGGGGAAGAGGATTAGCAGAAATGCCACATTGGGTGGTATTTTGCTTCCTAGTAGCTCAAGGGAAAACTAACAAGAAGGATAAAAGGCGGAAATGTATTCTC